TTTTTTTCTTTGTTTGTTTTTGTTTTTTGTTCTCTTGATTCAGTTTTGGCAGATTGTATTTGTCTAGAAATGTACCCATTTATTCTAGGTTTTACAATTTGTTGGAATATAAGTTTTCAAAATAGGCCCTAMTGATCTGCTGGATTTCTGAGATATCTGTAGTGATTTCTTCTTTTTCATCTCTTAATTTCATTAATTTGATTTTCTCCCTTTTTTCTTTTGATTAGTTTGGCTAAGGGCTTATCCATCTTGTTTATCTTTTCAAAGCACCAACTCTTTGTTTCATTGATCCTTTGTGTTGTTATTTTTTATTCTCAAGGTCATTAATTTTAGCTCTGATCTTAATTATTTCCTTCCTTTGGACTTGGCTTGTTCTTCTTTTCCAAGGGCCTTGAGATGCATCATTAGGTTGTTTATTTGGGAATCTTTCTAAAGGAATGGGTTGAAGATGTCTTGAAAAGGCTTCTGAACTTTAAGGATCAATTGCTGATGAAAATGATTAGAAACATTTCCGAGCATGATGGACCAACTAAAAATGTGTTTATTGATTTTGTTGGGGACCTTGCAGCCCAGATCTCTAATGATGAAGAGGAAGTTTGTGATGAATGTTTGGGAACTCTTGCAAATTTGACCCATTACAGATTTAGATGGGAGTCAGCTCTTAAATAGTACCAGTTAGTTCCATACCTCAAGGATAAACGAAAACCAGGTGCTGCAGAAAATGACTTTGTTTTACAAGTGGTTATAATGATTAGAACTATATCTATGGATGACTCTTATRCTACATTGCTAGCAAAATCTAGAATAATCCCTGCACACATCAAATTTCTAATTGCTTGACCTTAAGACAATGAGTTTGTATGTTGGTTTTCCACCAAGCCCTGAGAAATGTCATAATCAAGGGGACCCAGGCTTCAGCATATCTTGTAGACATCATGCATGATAAAAAAAAATAGTGAAATCTGAGAGGTCTGTAATATGCTATATATTGTAGTGGAATATGATGAAGAATGGGCTAAGAAATTTCAGAGCGAGAAGTTTTGCTGGAATAACTCTTAGTGGCTGGATATGGTATAGAGCCACCAGATGGACGAGAGTGAGCAGTACTTGTATGGTGATGATTGAATTGAGCATATGTCCATAACAGAGATATTCTTGAAAGACCTAACTATTTCTATAATTCAGATKGATTAATTCCCTCTAAAGGAGCCATGATTCCTTCAATGATTATCATGGAGATGTAGTTGGGCAGCATTCATTTCCTTGCAGTCTTGAAATGGATAGCATTGGCCAACCAGAGGGCATTCTTGGATACTCTGGCATAGTTTATGGATTCTCCCCTGATGAATCTTAGTAATAAGGCTGTTAGTCTCAGTAAAGTCATCTCTTTCCATGTGTATTCTCAGCTTAGAAGAAGTCTGTATGGATTGGGTTAATTCTGATCTTCCTAATAAAGCACAATACTATTATGGGTCTGTGTTTCTTCTTCCATATTATTAGCTGCAGATGAACTTCATCCCTTTCAGTTGATGCTACCATTGCTCCCTCATCCACCCACATCTTGATGCTGAAAAACATTTCCCATGAGACTCAGAAGTGAATGTAAAAAAGCTGCTAGATTAGAGAACAAACACTAYATTATATACATTAAGTGAATAATTTAATTTCTATTAAAAAGATGCATGAAGTGCAAAAAAAATYCTTTTGTACATGTAATCATACAGTTTACTCTTTGCACCTGGCTTCTTTCAGTCAACAATATATTAATGAGATTCACTCATGTTGCAAATAACAACATTGTCAACCCTATATAATATTATATCAAGAGTTGGTAGATTGTGGCCCAGAGGCCAAATGTGGTCATGATTCATTTTTTACCTTATGGATATCAAAGTATTATAAAAGAAAATGTCTTTGCTTCCTACAGTACCTTTTAAAAATATGTGTAATATTTCTCTTTGTTTAAATAGGAAAATAATCTCATGGATCCTGAATTAAAAGAAAACATAACCCTTCTTTCCTTTTTTTAATTTTTATTGGTTGTTCACAACATTATAAAGCTCTTGACCATAACCCTTCTTTCCATGATTATGAATATATTGCATRTATAAGTGTAAATACCCATTAGTGTAGATACCTATTATATATTTTGTACTAAAACATAGCTTATACTTGCACAAAGTTTTAGGGGGAAAATTAAATATTTTACTTAATTGTTTTATTTTTTAAAAAATRTTTATTTTTTTATTGTAGGTGGACACAATATCTTTTTTTTATTTTTATGTAGTGCTSAGGATTGAACCTAGYGCCTCATGCATGCTAGGCAAGTGTTCTACCTYTGAGCCACAACCCCAGCCCTTAATTGCTTTATTAATATCATGAATCTTTACACATAAGACCTGGCAATACATATTTGTTGTCAAAACTTTTGAAATGACTCAGAAGGATATAAGAATCAAAGTAATGGTCACCTCTGCTCATCCCTTTGGCTTGTCTAATCCAACCCCTTCTAAATAATCACTATTGACAGTTTTGCAGGGTATTCTTAAAAATATATTTATGACATGAAAGTGTTGTGGTGTGAGTGTGTGTGTGTACACTGTTTTTATTTTTTAACACACCTGAGATCCTAATATGCATACTAATCTATAACTTGCTTTCATATTTAATTATATATTATAACTATATTTCCATTTTTGCAAAATAGAATTCTTACTCATTCTTTCTCATTTTTWAAAATAATTTTGTAGTGTACAATGAATACATATTTCATCATTCCTCAAAATAGCAAAAATTAAACTATTTCTAATTCTTTGTGTAAGCATACATGAATTTTTCTTTTTGTTTACCTATATGAGAATATATTTAAGAATGATCTTTAGACATTGAATTGCTGAGTCACATATATGTGCTTTTAAACTTTTGACAGATAGGCAGGGCATAGTGATGCATGCCTATAGTCCCACCCACCTACATGGAAGGCTGAGGTGGGAGATTGCTTGAGCCTAGGAGTTTGAGACAGGCTTGGGTAACACATCAGGTCTCCATCTCAAAAAAAGGGGGGGAATGAGGGATGGTGGGTAAAAGACCGTGGAATGAGATGGACATCCCTACCCYAAGTACATGAATGCAGACACAAATAGTGTGGCTCTGCTTTGTGTACACTAGAGATATGAAAGATTGTGCTCTCTATGTGTAATATGAAGTGTAATGCATTCTACTGTCATATATAACAAATTAAAATTTAACAAATAAATTTAAAGAAATTAGATATCACTAAATTGCCATTCAGAAAAGGCAGTTGGCCATTTTGCCCCACGAGGCATTATTATTATTATTGACAGYAGAACTGTCTCTGTACTTTATGAAATCTAGAATAAGGAAGTTTTATATTGATTGTTTATTCTGTTGTTTCAGAACAATGAGATGGTGGAGCTACAGAGAATACGGATGAAGGATGAAATTCGAGAATATAAGTTCCGGGAGGCCCGGCTCCTTCAGGACTACACTGAACTAGAAGAAGAGAATATCACTTTGCAGAAACTAGTGTCCACGTTAAAGCAGAACCAGGTGAGATTTAAGAAGGTTTCTTTTAGATACACACAGATGGATCCACAGATTCTGACAACTCTAGTTCCATCACCTCTATTTCTTAGGGAGGAGCTTGTCAAATTTTTTTTATAATCCCTTAATCTTTTTATGTAATATTTATGTACTGAAATTTCTCAACTTTCCTATTTCAGCTACAATGTAGAAGGAAAAAAATACACCTATAAGGAGTATGATTTACAATAAAGCTTTACTAATAAAGATACAAAGGAGAATTTTGGTTGATTTTATTTCAGCAGTTAAGTTAAGCCCATTACAGTAAACTAAATCTGACAACTTCCAGTTAAAAGCCTGGGTCTGTAAGCTATTCATTCTACAAGCTTAAGGTCTCCCTACAATCACTTGTCTCATTCTTTTTGCTTCCTTCTTCCCTCCTTCCTTTTTCCCTCCCTCCCTCTCTCCTTTTTYTTAAAATTTATTTTTTAGTTTTAGGTGGACATAATATCTTTATTTTATTTTTATGTGGTGCTGAGGATCAAACCCAGTGCCTCACTCGTGCTAGGTGAGCACTCTACCACTGAGCCACAACACCAGCCCTCTCCTTTCCCTTTTTTGGTAAATTGCTTTTAAATCATAGAAGGAAAGGGATTATAAAGTATATACCAGCAGGAACAAAAGCATAAGAAATCAAGTGCCCGATTTCTTTTTCAGCTGTACCCTGTACCCTGATTCTAAAGATGTACATTTACATAATTATGTAATTTTTTTTCTGTAGTAAGGCTTACATGGCTTCCTTTTWCTAATTGTTTTGCAACATGTTTTTGCATAGTTATTACTAATTGAATTCTCAAATCTGTAATATGAGAAGAATCCATTTATGAATACAGCTGTATCGAGTAGTTAAGTAAAGGCAACTTGGATATCCAAATTCTTTTTAAGGAGCTTCCTCAGCCATGACCTCTACTTTGGTCTATATGCTATCATAACCTCTCAGTTCAGGTGTGCCCAGCATTGTACTAGGCTGGAAAGGTACAAGAATTCATAAGGCATGATTCTTGRCCTTGGTAAACTTGGAAAACAGCCAGTATATACTTTTAGAGTTAATGAGCTRGGGATTTAGCTCAGTAGTAGATCTCTTGCCTAGCTGATATGAGGYCCTGGGTTTGATCCCTAGCACTGGTGGGGGAAAAAAATGTTAAGAGGAAAAAAGAAAAATATGAATTGACACAATTAAAATTTGGTTTCTAATCATTGCCWCTTAGCTTTGGAGTTGCTGGGGAAACAAGATGTCTACTGATGAGAACAGGGGGTAGATTCAGCCCATCAAAAAGGGTTGTCAGGAAATTCCCTGTGTTTTTACCTCTTTCCTTCCCCTTTGAGCACTGAACACCCCATGCACCAGAGGCCAGCAGACCCACATGTCACAGGAGAGTAGGGAGCTGAAGCTCCAAACCTCCATTCTTGTGTCCCAGCAAAAGAAAATTTAAAGAATTTAAAGAAAAGCCATGCAAAAGAATTTTATTCTAGTGAAAGTAAAGTTAGGTTGAAGCAGAGAGCACTCTCAAGAGGGTGGGTCCTTTCTGAGCAGAGAGTGACAAAGGAAACAGTGTGGCTTCCAAATTTATTGCTGTTACATATTTGCCTTGGGAACTGGGGTTCACCTTCCGCACTCTTCCGCAGTCATGTGTTGAGCTCCTCCTTTGTGTTGGACAGTGGAGTCTTTGACCCTAGTTGGTCCTCTCCAGACYTGTCATGGTGGCCTCCTATTCAGAGTGGCTTCATYTACAAGTCAGTCCTATGTTAATGTAGGGACTGGGTTCGGTGGCCAAACTACCTTAGTGCACTTGTGTCATTAAAGAAATTTGTCTTTTGAAATATATTGAGAAACTTATGGCCACAAATCCTAACTTCACAATGACCCAAGTAGACCTTGTCAGGAGTTAGCCTCATTGATCTTTCTTTCTTGACCTGTTTGATTGGCTCCCTTTGTTTCCACCTATTTATTCTCAGGGTTTGTGCACCTGTTATTTTTGTATAGGTTACTTATTTGTTCATTTGCCTTAAAAACAATTTAAAGAAGCTGAGCACKAGAATGCACTCTTATAATCCCAGCAAATCGGGAAGCTGAGGCAGGAGGATYACAAGTTCGAGACTAGCCTCAGCAAGTTAGTGAGGCCTTAAGCAACTTGGTGTGACCCTGTCTCAAAATAAGAAGTGAAAAGGGCTGGAGATGTGGCTTAGTGGATTCAATCTCTGGTAACAACAAAAAAAAAAAAAGTAAAGAAAACTCATGACCATGCCATGCTATTGGTTTGCATTCTGCTGCTCATTACTATCTACTGCCTAACACAGGCATCCCAGGTCTTATTTTGGCTGGGGTAAATGAGCTTGCAGTGCAGAAATTAATACTTAGAGGAATTTTTTTAAATATGCTTCTCAGCTGGGTATGGTGGTGCATACCTAAAATCCCAGCTATTTGGAAGGCTGAGGCAGAGGATTAAAAGTTGAAAGCCAGCCTTAATAATTTAGTGAAACCTGGTCTCACAATAAAAWTTTTTAAAAGGGCTGGGGATACAGCTCAGTGGTAGAGCGTTTATCTAGCATGTGCAAGGTCCTGGTTCAATCCCCAGAACCCTCAAAAAATACTTCTTAAAATGAGAAGGATTTTGTGTGTGTGTGTGTGTGTGTGTGTGTATGTGTGCGCGCGAGTGGGTGGGGACTTTGGGGTTCTTTTGTTTGTTTTTGGTGTAGTTTTGGTTTTTGTCACTGATGAAGAATGAAGAGAACTTTGCTTGAAGTACAAATATTTAAATTGCCTTTCCTTCCTCCCTTTTCTCTGCTCAGACAGGAACAGGAGCAGACAGCCTCCCTGTGGTCCTGTGTGGTGGGCTGATTCATCTCAGGGGTTAATGAGAGCCAGGATTAGGGGTCCTTGAGAGACTGCCAAGGTACCCTGCCTGTGTTCATTAACCTAGAAGCTGTTTCTAAGGGAATTCATTTTATCAATGTGGCTGATCACTGTTTACCATTTACCCAGACCCTTCTACCAGGAATTGAAACAGGGAAACTCGGGAGTTTTGAGGAAAATGTATACATCTCTTCAATTTTACTTTCTAGATGTCAGATGATAATTTCCCCAATTAAATGTTGAACCAATTCAAAATCATTTTCTGTACAAGCTGTTTGGGCTTATTCCCTGACACATGGGTACAAGGTAGCTCCAAGTCTGTCCCAGATAAGGAAATGCTATGAGTTTTCCCCTACTATTGGCTTTTATTTAAAGCCATTAGCATCATAAATACTCTAATTAATGAATTGAGCATAATATTTTGTGTACAAATGCCACAGGTTTTTGTGAAGAGACAACTGGCATTCAATCACAAAATCAGTCTGAAACTTACTTTGTACTGATCCTCCCCCCACGCTGTGTACCCCAGCCTGGCTGCAGGTTTCTCCARCAGCAAAGCTACTGCCATTGTAAGATGCTTGGTTCCAGGGATTTTTCCCTTCTGAAGTTTTGTTTTTCTATTAGCTATTTATTATTTTCTAAATAATATTTAAATAGCATGTCTTACTCCCTCTTTAAGCATCTATTCACAAATACTTGCTGAAAGACTGAGAAAACAGGTGTTCCTTTCTTAACCTTCCCATGGAACACATTAATTCGGGAGTATGGTTGGTGGCTAGGGACTGTCAAATTATCAGATGCTTTAGGCTAGGTAACAACTCCTTGGAATTTTGAAAAGTATATTTCAGTGACGGGTATAGTCCAGTAGTAGAGCATTTAACTTGTATGCACACAGGCCAGGACCACACACACACACACACACACACACACACACACACACACACAAACACACACACACACACAAGTATATTTTATTTGCACGTCATCATGGCTGTTATATGCTATTTAAATGCTCATTTATGCATTTTCCCCATCAGGCAATTTATTCTCCCATCAAGTGTTCACAATCCTAAGTAATGTAGTTAATATGAAACACAGAAATTTCCTTTAGAGGACAATTATTGGTAGTATGCCATGAATTGATTTGTTATGTTTCCTTATATTTATTCAGATATATTTAGGGTAGAACAATTAGCATTCTATAATTATCATTATAAATAATAGACATATACCTCCTTGATTGACTCTTCTGAGTAATTCTATCACTGACATGTTGAAATTCTAATTACCTTTTTTTTCTTTAGAAATGTCTTTTATAGGGTGTTTTTACATAATGTATTCCAGGTACCACACTGTGGTAAACACATTCTTTTTATTGAAATAACACTCTCCTTATTCATATATACAAATAGCATTCTTGAAAACATCTTTTATTCATGTGCCTTACAGAGTTTATTATATGCTGTATAATGTGGTAAACATATTCTTTAATGAAATACCACTATGCTTATTCACATATGTATCTAGTATTCCTGGAAACTTCTTTTATATACGTGTCTTTACAGACCATGCCCCACAGTGCTCCAATGACCTTCTGTAACAACGAGTTTTGGTTTTCATTTCTCCCCATTGTATTTCCCAGTTTTAACTGGGCCCAAGGCTGCACAGAGTAAAAGCTACATGCTTCCAGCTCCCTTGCATTAAAGTGTATCATAGGGTCAGTACTGGCCAATAGAATACGAGAAAAAGCAATATGGGAACGATGGGATGTTTCTGGAAAGGCAGAGGGTGTGCCCCTTACTTACTTCAGCCCACTGCCAGGCACAGGATCAAGATGGCAAGCCAGCTTGGCTSATGGACCAAGTACAAGTCAGGGTAGCAAGAGTGGAGGAGCCTGGTCCCTGGTAACCTCCTGGAGCAGAGATTCCCCACTGGTCTTGACAGTCTGCCTCCATACTGTTACATGAGAGGAAAACTTTCATCTCCACTGAGACAGTCTCCTGTAGGTCTCTGCTACATCAGCCAAACCTGCATCCCCACCAAACCGGTATTCTAACATTTGCAAGATAAGTGATCACACCAAGATTATGTGAGGGGGATAAAAATACATGAAAAGTAGTGGTTTATGATCTCTCTCTCTCTTTTTTTTTTATTAGTTGTTCAAAACATTACAAAGCTCTTGACATATCATATTTCATACATTAGAATCAAGTGGGTTATGAACTCTCATTTTTACCCCAAATACAGATTGCAATTCTTAAAATCTTTTTTAAAATTTAAGTTCAAACTAATAAATACCAAAATTAAATATAAAGCCAAACAGTTTATTTGAGCATCCAATAGCAGGATGTCCTTGTTTTTCTAGTTTATTTTTTCACTCACGGTTATTCAGCAAATGCTTATTGAAGAACAGAATTTTGTTTAAACAYTGTGAGGGTACATTGAAGCACTATGAGGGACACCTTAGTGAATAAAAAATCCTTTCTCCAGGCGGATTTCAAGGTAGTTGTAGAAGTAAAATGTTTATGGAATGGTGACATGTGACAAGTGCCAAGGAAAYAGTCCCAGGGAAGGCCCAGCAGCTCAGAAGAGAGATCTCTGTCACCTGTGGGTTTTCATGGCTAGGAAGTCGTCTGAGCAGGCTCCCACTTGATTACAACTCAAAAGAATATTATATTGATAACACTATAGATATGTTTTGTTATTGAATAACTTGCCCCTTTTCTTTCAGATTTTTCTTTCTTTCTTTCTTTCTTTTTTTTTTTTTTTTTTTGTACCAGGATTGAACCCAGGGGTGCTTAACCACCAAGCCACATCCCCAGCCCTTTTTCATATTTTATTTAGAGACAGGGTCTCGCTAAGTTGCTTAGGGCCCTACTAATTTGCTGAGGCTGGCTTTGAACCTGTGATCCTCCTGTCTCAGCCTCCTGAACTGCTGGAATAACAGGCGCTCTTTCAGATTTGATCCTTAAGCCTATATAAACTTTCTTTGCTTTCTCATCTTAATCTCAAACATATCTTATTGAGATTTTTTTATTGTATTCTTTTAACTTAATTTATCCCTGGGTATAAAAGTTTCCTATTTATAAATAATGACATTTTTAAAAGTAACAGTGATGATGATAAAAATCTTTCCATGGATTGTATTTGGATAAATTATTAGCAAAAAAAAAAAAAATTCTGATTTATTAGGCAAACAATTTCCTCTTTTGACGATTGGATCCTATAAAAGAAATCCTAGAACAGTAGAAAACTTTTTCATCCTGCTAAGAATTAAATTATAGACTTATATAGATTTCTGTTACCAAAATAAATTAGAAAAAGCGACAATGTCATCATGCTATTAGATGCTAATTATATATAATTATGTGTGTGTGTGTGTGTGTGTGTGTGTTCATTACATATATAATTTCTAAGGAAATCATCCTCTGTTATCTTAAGGAAATACTGTTGCTTTTTATGATTTATTTCAGGCTGGGGGTATAGCTCAGGGGTAGGGTGCCTCCCTAACATGGATAAGGCCCTGGAGTCAATCCCTAGCATCTGGAAAAAAGAAATCAWGTGTATGTGGTTCATTTTGTAGACGAATGTTGTCATCTTTTTTAGTGATTAAGTCCACTAGAGCGCCTGGTGGCAGTTTTGTAAGACCCAACTTTTAGTTCTATGAATCTTCCTTGTCCTATCTAATTCAGGTGGAGTACGAGGGCCTGAAGCATGAGATCAAGCGGTTCGAGGAGGAGACGGTGCTGCTCAACAGCCAGCTGGAGGACGCCCTCCGCCTGAAGGAGATCGCCGAGCACCAGCTGGAGGAGGCGCTGGAGACGCTGAAGAACGAGAGGGAGCAGAAGAACAGCCTGCGCAAGGAGCTCTCCCAGTACATCACCCTCGGCGACAACCACATCAGCCTCTCGGTCGACGGCCTCAAGTTCACCGAGGACGGGGGCGAGCCCAACAACGACGACAAGATGAACGGGCACCTCCACGGGCCGCTGGTGAAACTGAACGGAGACTACCGGGCGCCCCCCCTGAGGAAGGGGGAGTCCCTGCACCCGGTCTCGGACCTGTTCAGTGAGCTGAACATCTCCGAGATTCAGAAGCTGAAGCAGCAGCTTATGCAGGTGAGAACCTTGCCTAGGGCTGAGAGGAGGGTCGATGGCACCCTGGTAGATGGCAGGTGGTGTGTGGTGGGATTTCWGATTCTGGTGTTTTATTTAGTTCCAGGCTGATTTTTTAAAATGTTGCTTCTTCAGGTAGAGATTAAAAGCACAGTCTTTTAGAAGGAGACGACAGAAGGGATGTTGAAAAGAAATCTCTTATTTGTATCATTTTAAGGAATGAAGTTCTTAATGTGGTACATCTACGCAATGGAATATTACTAAGCTATAAAGAAGAATGAAATTATGGCATTTTGCCGGTAAATGGTTTGAACAGGAGACTATCATGCTAAGTGAAAAAAATCAATTCCAGAAAACCAAAGGCCTAATGTTCTCTCTGATATGTGGAACGATGAGATGGGGAGTGGAGATTCACTGGATTAGGGGAGAGTGGGGGGAAGGGCGGGTAGATGGGAATAGGAAAGCCAGTAGAATGAATCGGACATAACTTTCCTAGGTTCATGTGTGTAACTCTACATCATGTGGCACTCAAATAAATTTCTTTGTTTTTTTTCTGAGAAAAAAACAGATTCTTAACCAACATTTCTAACAGAGAATCTAAAAGCTTTATACACAAGTGGAACAGAAGAAATTGCAGTTTTTTATCACAAGTAACTGTAGATCTAGTTTCCAGATTAATGGTGACATTTCCCAGGAGTACTTTAAGCTATAAAAAAACAACAAGGACTTTATGTATACAAATTGGCTAGGATACTATATCATTAAAAACACAGAACAGGTATAAATCTGAAACCAAAGGATTCTAGATATTCCAATATAAGCTAAACGTTGATTTTTTTAACATCTTCAAATTATATGTATCCAGAAGAGTCAGAGCCTTTATCTTATCTCACTATGATGGGACTTTCTTAGTTTTAGAGCCCTGCCCCCTAATCTTAATTCAATGCCATTGGAAATGTCTGTAGAACAAGGATACCGCCATAGCCTGGGGGTTTATTTGAAATTGCTGGGCCCATATTGATCTACTGAGCCAGGAATCTGGCTTGTTAGGTGGTTAAATTGGGGACTAATCTTCAGTCTCATGCCTCCAAGGTTCATCATGTATAGCTGATAAATTGAGGCTGTAAAGATTCTTGCAGTCATACAAACAGAAAAATGAAAACTTGATCTCCATTTGTATATTTGAATTGAAATGCATTCTGCTGTCATGTATAACAAATTAGAACAAATAAATTAATTAATTAAAATTACTAAAAGAAAAGACTCTAGCAATCACTTATTGTACAGCAAACAGAGCTTCAAATTTTCTTCTTCCAAAGAAATGAACAATGAAACTAGCAGAAATAAAGACTAGAGAGCCAATAAAATTAATTTGTTAATAGGTTTATTTTTAATACTGCATGCCCTTCACTTTACCACCCCATGCTGTGGCTGCTAAAAGACAGTTTGTTTTTGCAATATTTAATTTGAGTCAAGATAAGAGACCATGACCACTGGAAGAAAACCAGTTTTATACAGCATTTCTCCTGACACAAAATCCAGTTCTTTATGGGTAATATTTTTCCATATCTTTTTCTCAGTTTATACTAATACAAGTAGGTTGGTAGAAATAGAAAACATGTCTCTTCTTGAAAAAGTTGTACACGATACCTATTTTCATAAAAATGTGTGCCCTAAATTAAATAGCACCTACGATTAGTCTATTTTCTGAAAGTATCATGTTGATGGCTTTGGAATAAAAAGCCATTGTGAGTTGAGGCTTTTTGTTTCTTCATTGTATTTTGCTGGGGGGGGGGAGATAAGAGGAAGTGGGGCTTCAAGGCATAGGACAGCTCAGTAGTTTTTAACCAAGTCATTTATTGGGTTAAGGCTTAGAGCTGTTTTCACACTTGACCTTAAATGTAATCTGAATTGGGAAATATAAAGTCCAAAAAAGATGAGTAGTTTATCTTCTCATGAGTGATAGAGAAAGAGGACAAGTAAGTCTCAGCAGAGTGACATATGCATTTGGGACAGTTCCTCACTGTCTGAGACTGTCTCCCAAGTTAAGGAGGTTTAGCCTCTCTGGCCCAGCCTATTAAAGTGCCAGGTATATCTCTTTAGTCATGTGATAACCAAAAAATGCCCCACACATTTCAAGTGCCCTCAGCTGCTAGATGGGATTTATTCTTGGAGCTACAACATTTTACTTTTCCATTAAATGGGGAGTCAAAAGACTTCCTCATTCGATTGTTGTGAAGGTGTATGAGCTAGTTAATATGTGTAGATTGCTTAGAACAGAACCCAGTGCACAGTAAATAGTTATTGGAACTATTATTATTTCAACTCCATAGTGCCTTTAGTTTTTGAAGCACCTGATTTATTATTTAAGTATTCTTATTCTTGCTACTAGCATTAACTGTTGTTTTTGGACTATCAGCTCAAGAATTGTCACCTGGTACAAGACTGGTACGTGCAACTGAGTGGAAAATGAGAGTTAAGTCTCCTGATATGAAAAGGGATGTTCGTGTTGCAAAACATGAGGGTGAGAAAAATTCTGCAGGATACATCCTCCTTCCTTATCCCAGAGAGCTGTGTGCCTTCAAGTCTTTCATCAGCACTCAGTTAACATGGACAGTTCATAAAGATGTGGAGGGGCCCAGGAGGGCCTTGGATCACAAAGTTGGCTCCAAATTGAGTAATGAAAACCAGGCTCAGCACAGGAAGGACTTTGCAGCTTCCAGTCTCACACCAGCAACACTAACCTCTCAATTTTTTTTTTCAAAGTAACCATTTATCCTCTCATAATTAGCATGTGCTACCAGGGATGCCATATATGGATGGTAACAGGGGTGCTTTAGCACTGAGTTACATTCTCAGTCCCTTTAAATTTTGAGACAGGTTTTTGCTAAATTGCCCAGGTTGGCTTTGCAGTCCTTCTGCCTCAGCCTCCTGGGTTGCTGGGATTACAGGCATGTGCTACTATGCCCCGCCTTTTTTTCAAAACCGTATCAACTGTTTTAGGAATATTTTTCATTCAACATTTTTGGTATAAGGGCAACAGAGTGTATCTTCTCATAAATGATTTCTTTATAATCTGATTGTTTTTCCTTAGCTATCTACTCTTTTGGGTTTCATTCATATAAATAAATTATAAAATTATTATTTGATGTGAAGCTTGAAAATAATATGTCAATTCTGATCAACAGCAGTTCTGGTGGGCCATGAAACATACTGTGAGTTGTACTGTTCTAGGCGTTCTGAAGGGACTCCAATAAAATGCACTTAAGTATTGCTACCTAAAATACTTGAGGCCACATGTGTTTTGAAATTCAATTTTCAGACTATAGAAAGGTAACATGCAGCATAGGTCATGTGTATATTGTGTCATCCCCATCGTGGCCACATGTGGCACCCAACAATCACATAATATTAACGTTAAAATATTAATGTAAATGTACAAATATGTAACAACAAATCCCACCATTATGTCCATCTATAATGCACCAATAAAAATGTGGGAAAAAATTAATACTAATGTTAAAAATTAATGCTAAATGTAAAATGTTAAATGTTAGTATTAAAATTTGTGTAGTAAAGCATGCAAGTATTTATATGAAGAGAAAAAAATCAGGACCATTTTTTATATGAAAGGGCCTTCGATTGGTCGGGTGCAGTTTTGCTGCTCCACAGGAGTTTAGGGCTGTCATTATATTGCCACCAAACAAGTTATATATAACTTCTATTTCAAGCTTTTGGGACATTGAAATTGTAGCCAACGTAGGTGAAACTGGGGCTGCACCGTTAAGCAATTTTGTATGCCTCAGCACACTTGGGATGGGACAGTTGGTATTTTCATAGTCCCTTTGTCTCTTAGGATTTCTTTTGGCAGGAATAAAAACATTTCATCTGAGTGAAGTCTGTATGCCATCAAATCTAACACCTATGCTTAGTTACTACTGATCATGTCGAGGGGCACAGGCTGGGATATAACACCTTAAATGAGGTGATATGCAGCTTTTCAGACTATCTTCCTTGTGATTAAGAGCTCTTTTGATGGATAGGAGGAATAAGTTCAAGAGGTCTGCCGTACAATGTGGTGGCTATAATTGATAACAATGCATTTTATTCTTAAAAATTACCAAGAGAGTAGATTTTTTTTTTTGCAAATGATAAGTATGGGATGCAATATACATATATGTTAATTAGCTCAAAATTTAGCCATTTCACAATGTATCCACATTTCACAACATTCTGTTATACATGGAAAGTATGTACAATCTTTTATTTGTCAATTAAAATTAAATTTTTGTAAAAAAAAAAAAAAAAAGAAGAAGAAGAACCTCTTTAAAGACAGCATACATAGGCCATACCCTGTTGGCCTTTTCTTGTCTTACAAGTCTCCATCTATACACATAAATTATGTTATCTCATTTATAGGTGTTTACTTAACCTGGTTGGGCAGGAGGGGACCTGTGCATCTTTCTGCCTTGAATGTCACGAATGCTGGGTAGTTGCTTTCTCTGAAGCTCCTTCACAAAGAGGGAAAGCAACACATTAGCAAAGCACTGGTCTCTTACCTTTTGTTAGAATTAGGAAAAAAGAAAACACAAAACCTGCTCTCCTTCTTTAAGAGGTTACACTGCCATCTGCTGGGAAATGATAATAAATAATAAAAATCTACAGGGACTACCGTTTAAATATTGCCTCCTTCTAGAATTGCACTGTATACAACCTGCACAGTTGTACTTTAAAGCCCTTGTAAAAATGCCAGGCCTCTTTTGTAGAATTGTGAAGAACAAATGGGATGGTAACTATGAAACTATGTGTCATTCATAAAACTGTAAGTTATTATTACTGTACTGGGAACTATCCGTCAGTTTTGAGGTGCCAAGGTCTCCACTACCATTTTATATAAACAGTGAATACAGAAACCATAAAATTATCGGAAAGGGTAGGTGGTGGTAAGCCTTGATTGAAATTAGGGGGTGCTTTTCTTCCCAGAGCAAATTGGTGTGAATATT